GATTTGGGGCATAGTTTGTTCTTTTTCTACTTTTTTTAAACTGTAAAGTTAGATTGTTTATTTGAGTTTTTTTCCCCTAATGTAGACATTTATTGCTGCAAACTTTCCTCTTAGAACTACTTTTGCTGCACTCCACACGTTTTTGTATGTTGTGTTTCCATTTTCATTTGTCTCACTTTTTGATTTCCCTTTTGATTTATTCTTTTATCTATTGGCTATGTTGAATCCACATATTTCTGAATTTTCTAAAATTTCTCTTGTTAATGATATTTATTTGTTTATTTTGAGATGGGGTCTCGCTCTGTCACCCCGGCTGGAGTGCAGTAGCCTGATCTTGGCTTAATGCAACCTCTGCTCCCCGGGTTCAAACAATTCTCCTGCCTCAGCCTCCCCAGTAGCTGGGATTGCAGGCATTTGCTGTCATGCCTGGCTAATTTTTATGTTTTTAGTAGAGATGGGGTTTCACCTTGATGTTGAACTTCTCAGCCTCTAGAACTGTGGGAAATAAATTTCTTTTCTTTATAAATTACGCAGTCTGTGGTATTCTGTTACAGCAACATAAATGGACTAAGATGCTTTGTGATCAATCTCTTTTCTCTTATGCTTTCATGATTTTTGTCTTAGACTTTTGATAATTTGACTATACAATCAAGCCTTCAAATTTGTGATTTCTGCATCCATGGATTCAACCAACCACAGATTGAAAATATTTAAAAAAATACAAAATATAACAACTATTTACATAGCATTTACATTGTATTAGTTATCATAAGTTATCATAAGTAATCTTGAGATAATTTAAGGTATATAGAAAGTTGTGCATAGGTTCATGTGACTACTATGCATTTTATATAAGGGACTTGAGCATCCATGGATTCTGGTATCTGTGGATGGTTTGTAACCAATCTTCCATGGAGACAGAGGGACCACTGTAATGTGTCTCAGGATACTCTTCTTTTGGTTGATCTGGCTTGGGATCCTTTAGGCATCAGGAATTATTAATTAAACTACATTTAATTAAACATTCTGCCCCTTTCTTCTTTTCTTCTTCTTTTAGAATTATAATTCATAAATACATTACCTTGATGGTGCCCCATAGCCTTTTTAAAATTATTTTATTTTTTGAGATAGAGTCTCACTCTGTAACCCAGGTTGGAGTACAGTGGTGCAATCTTGGCTCACTGCAACCTCTACCTCCTGGGTTCAAGTGATTCCCCGACCTCAGCCTCCTGAGCAGCTGGGACTACAGGTGTGTGCCACCATGCCCAGCTAATATTTATAATGTTAGTAGAGACTGGGTTTCACTATGTTGGTCAGGCTGGTCTTGAACTCCTGACCTCAAGTGATCCACCTGTTTCCACCTCCAAAAGTACTGGAATTACAGGCGTGAGCTTCTGCACCAAGCCCCTTCGTTCTTTTTTCTTCTCCTTTGTTTTTCTCTAGTGGCTAATTTCAAATGGCCTATCATTGAGTTCACTGATTCTTTCTTCTGCACAATCTCATCTGCTGTTGAAACTTTTATTGACTTTTCAGCTCTGTCATTGTGTTCTTCAGCTCCTGGACATTTTATTGTTTTAATTTCTCTATTAAATGTCTAATTTTGTTTATGCATTGTTTCCACGATTTTGTTTAGTTGTTCTCTTTTATTTTTTCCTTTCTGTACCTCAGACTCAATAATTTTTTTTTTTTCTTGAGACAGGGTCTGGCTCCATTACCCAGTCTGGAGTGCAGTGGCACAATCTCAGCTCACTGCAACCTCTACCTCTTGGGCTCAAGTCATCTTCCTACCTCAGTCTCCTAAGTAACTGGGACTACAGATGCATTCCACCACACCTGGCTAATTTTTGTAGAGTATGGGTTTCATCATGTTGCCCAGGCTGGTCTTAAACTCCTGGGCTCAAGTGATCCTCCTGCCTTGGCCTCCCAAAGTGCTGGGATTACAGGTGTGAACCACCATGCCAAGTCCATAGTTGCTTTAAAATGTCTGGATCCTTAAATGTCTGGCTCCCCAATTATGGGGAAAAAAGGGAAAAAGAAAATACAAACAAATAAACAGGTGCTGTTCCTTTGAAGACCCTAGAAGCTGTGTCAGCCAGTGGCAGTGGAATCATTGGTGGCTAGCCTGTGTGCCTACACCTCAGTGATCAAAAGCAACAAGCTACAGAAGACTGACTCCTGTTACTTGGAGGAGAAGGTTATTATTGCCCATTCTGGCTCTAGTAAGCTTTACCAGGAACATGGGCATAAGCTTTACCAGGAACTCCTGCTGTGAGGCTAGGAGTAAGTGGTGTTTAGCTGTTACCATATTTAAAGCTTAAATTGGTAGAAATTAACTAATTTACTAGCCAAGTTTTCTCCTGGCAGCTGTAAAGGTTCAAACAGACTCCGGACTCTAGTTACTTCAAACAGTTCCTGCCAATACAATTGTCATCTAGGTAAGGAACTATATTCTTGGAATTTCCTACTCTGCCGTCTTTCCTAACATAACTCCCACATTTTTTTATTTGTAAAGGATACTTGAGTTGCTTATGGAAGTCTTGGTTGACAGTCTTTTTCTTTCAGTACTTTAATTATGTCACCCAACTGCCTTCAGACTCCATATTTTTTGACGGGAAATCAGTTTATAATCTTATTGGGGATTCCTTGTATGTGATGAATTGCTTCCCTGTTGCTGCTTTAGAGAGTCTCTCTTTGTCATTGTCTTGCAACTCTTTGCTTATAAATTTCTAAATGTGTATATCATCAAGTTTATCTCATTTGAAACTCATTAATTTATAGATTAATGTTTTTCATCAAATTTGAGACATTTTTTAGGCGATTATTTCTTAAATATATTTTCTTCCCCTTTTCTCTTCTCTTCTTAAAGAACTTCCATTATATATATGTTGACATGCTTAATGGTGTCCCACAGGTTTCTGAGGCTCTGTTAATTTTTAAACATTTTTTTACTTTTCTGCTCTGCAGAGTAGATACTCTGAAGTGACCTATCTTTAAGTTGACTGATTCTTCTGCCAGTTCATGTTTGCTTTTGAGCTCCTGTTGTGAATTTTCATTTCATTGTTTGTAATTTCCAACTCTAGATTTTCTATTTAAAAAAAATCATTTGAACACATTTAAAATACCTTACTTAAATTGTTTGTCTAGTAAGTTCAACTTCTGGGCTTCCTAGTGGAAGTTTCTTTTGACTTCTTTCCCTATTCTTCTATCCTCAGTACAGGCCATATTTTTTATTTCTTTGCATGCCACATAATTTTTTTAACTGAACATTTTAGATATTACATGTTGTAACTATGGAAATGACATTCTCACCTTCCTCAGGTTTTGTTATTGTTGCTGCTGTTTGTTCAGTTAGTGACTTTTCTAAACTAACTCTGTAAGCCTTTTCTTTGTCATATGTGGCCATGAAATCTCTGCTTGTTAGCTTTAGTGCTTAGCTAATAATTAGAGAGAGATTTTCCTAAATGCCCTGAATCAACAAATTTTCCAGCCTGTGCTGCGGAGCTCTGTTTGCTGGGGCATGTCCACAACACTTCAGTTTGCCCTAGTATTCTTAGCTTTCATTTCTGACTTGCTAAGACTCTCAAGGCTGGCTGGAGGTGAGAGATTAGAGTTTTCTCAGGTCTTTCCTAGATATACACACGTTTCCAACATCTGTGTCATATCCGAGTCTAGTACTGATTATTGCTTTTTCTTATATTGGTTTTTTTTTTTGCCTTCTGACTTGTCTTGTAATTTTTGTTGAAAGTTAGACATTCTTCATTTCTATTACTATATCAGGAGATAACGAATATAAATATTTTCTATACTTGGAGAAGAACACAGACTTCCTTCTGCTTGGTGGTTATTATGGAGATTTGTGATACTCTAATCAGGAGTGGGCTGTGCTTTAATTTGTTGTTGTGGTTACCAGAGTTGAATTTTTTTGTGGCTATGGGCACCAGAGATTTACAATTCTGTCAGTGACACCTTGTTTTTGCCTTCTCCACTTGGCTTTTGGTCTTCTCTTTGTGCTATTATCCTGGAGAGCTTTGCCATTCTCGCGGCTGCATACGATATTATACCAATTCACATTTAGGATAAAAATCTTATAACAACATATATCCTTTTTCTTTATTTTTCTTCTTTTTTATTTTCTATTAGCTTTCTCAGGTTGAAAGCAACATATTTGTTGGGTGCAGTGGCTCACACCAGTAATCCCAGCACATTGGGAGACTGAGGCAGTGGATCACCTGAGGTCAGGAGTTTGAGACCAGCCTGGCCAACATGGTGAAACCCTGTCTCTACTAAAATATAAATATTAGCCGGGTGTAATGGTGGGCGCCTGTAATCCCAGCTACTCAGGAGCCTGAGGCAGGAGAATCGTTTGAACCTCGGAGGTGAAGGTTGCAGTGTGCCAAGATCACATTATTGCACTCCAGCCTGGGCAACAAGAGTGAAACTCCGTCTCAAAATAAAACAAAACAATGTATTTCTATTTCTCTCTCTCCTGATCTTTGTGCTACTGTCATACATCTTCTTGCATACATGTTGCAAACCTCACTGTGCATTGTTATTTTTTTTTAAATGGTCAAGTCAATTATCTTTTAAAGAGATTTACGTAAAAAAATATCTTACATATTTGTGCATGTAGTTATCTTTCCCAGCACATCTTCTTTGTGTAAATCCAGATTTGCATCTGGTATAGTGTTCCTTCTGTCTGAATGACTTTAACTTTTTACAGTGCAGGTCTGATGGTGATACAGTGTTTCATCTTATGCATACCTGAAAAAAAAATCTGTATTTTGTCTTCATTTTTGAAATAAAATTCTAGAAGTTCTTTTCTTCCAGCACTTAAACAATGGTGCTCAACTGTCTTAATGCTTGTATGGCTTCTGATGAAAACTTGACGGTCATCTTTATCTTTGTTCTTCTGTACTCTACTGGTTTTAAGCAAGTTGATTAAGTTGTGCATTGGTTTAGTTTTATATTTTATATATATAAAGTTTATATATACACAAATTTTTTTTTCTTCGTGATGGAGTCCCACTCTGTCATCCAAGCTGGGATGCAGTGGCATGATTTTGGCTCACTGCAACATCTGCCTCCTGGGCTTCAGAGATTCTCCTGCACCAGCCTCCCAAGTAGCTGGAACTGCAGGTGCTAACCACACCCAGCTAGTTTTCGTATTTTTAATAGAGACAGGCTTTCACTATGTAGGCCAGGTTGGTCTCAAACTCCTGACCTCAGGTGATCTACGGCCTAGGCCTCCCAAAGTGCTGGGATTACAGGTGTGAGCCATGGTGCCCAGCCTGGTTTCGTTTTCTTCATGTTTCTTTCTTTGGTATTCATTGAGCTTACTAGATTTGTGGGGTTATAGTTTTTATCCAATTTTTAAAAGTTTGACCATTATTTCTTTAAATATTTTTGTCCTCCCACCCTGCAAGTCTCCTTTGAAGACTCCAGTTGCTCATACATTAGGACACAGCTCACTGATGGTCTCTGTTTTGTTTTTTTTTTTTCACACTCTCTTTACTTTCTGTTTCATTCTGAAATTTTTTTAACTGTTAGGTTTTCAAGTTTACTTATCTTTTCTTTCACAAAGTTTAATATGTTACTAATCCCATCAGTGTATTTCTAACATACAAGGCAGTTTTGGTTTTACAAGTTTGATTTGGGTCTTTTTTCATGTTAAATAGCTCTCCTGAACTTTCTGAATATGTATGTATGTGTATAACTTAAAGTTGTTTTAATGCCCTTGCCTGTTCATTGAACATCTGTGTCAGTTCTGAGAGGATAAGATTAATTGATTACCCCTCATTGTCAGTTGTGCTTTCATGCTCTTTGCATGCTGGGTATTCTTTGATTGGATACTGGACATTGTGACTTTTACCTTGTTGGCTGTTTGATATTTTCACATTCTCATAAATATTCTTGAGCTTTGCTTTGGGGATGCATTTAAATTACTTAGAAACTGTTTGTTCTTTTCAGATCTTGCTTTTAAGACTTTTTAAGCAGGACAATTCTCAGTCTTGGCCTAATTGTTCTGCATTGCTGGGGCAAGACCTTCCTGCCTTCCTGGATACTCTACCTGGTGTTCTGTGAATCTTGAGGTTTTTTTTTTTTTTTTTTTTTTTGTGACTAATGGAAGCAGGCTCTCTTCTTGGCCCTGTAGGAGCAGCAGGCATTTTTGTTTCTGATTCTTTGCGGCAGTTATTTCTCTAGCTTCAGGCAGTTTCCTCACAGACATGCACTGATAAATACTCAGTTTAATACTCAAGGGGGAGTATTTGCCTTGCTATAAAGGAATACCTGAGGCTGGGTAATTTATAAAGAAAAGAGGTTTATTTGGCTCATGGTTCTCTAGGCTATAAAGAAGCATGGTGCCAGCATCTGCTTCTGATGAGAGCCTCAGGCATCTTCCTCTCATGGCAGAAGGCAAGGTGGAGCTGGTATGTAGAGATCACATGGCAAGAGAGGAAGCAAGAGAGGAGACCTGGGTGTGCCAGGCTCTTTTAACAACAGGCTCTCTTGGCAACTAATATAGTAAGAACTCACTCCTCTTCTTCCAGGAATGGCATTAATTATTTATGAGTGATCCACCCCTATGACCCTGACACATCCCATTAGGCCCTGCTTCCCCAACACTGGGGATCAAATTTCAATGTGAGCTGTGGAGGGGACAAACATCCGAACCACAGCAGGGAGCCTCTGCAGATTTTTACCTTCTTTCTTTGTGCAACTCTCTCCTCCACAGTATTCTATCAACATAAGCTGCCTCTGTGTTCCTGGCCTTGCAGCGAAACCTGCTCACCTCCTGGGGGCTTGCTGGGTTCTCCTTCTCTGTACCGTGGCCTGGAAATTCTCTCAAGTCATAAACCTGAGGCAATCATAGGGCTTACTCTATTTGTTCCCCATCTACAGGGATTCTATTTTTTTTTTGGTTAGTGTTCAATATTTTAAAAATGATTGTTTTAGATTTTTGTCCATTTTTGGTTGTTTCCGGTGGGAAGGTCAATCTTTTTATATTCCATGGCCAGAAGGAGAGGTCAGCATTTAATAACATTTTTTCCTTATTATTATTTGAAACAAGGTCTTGCTCTGTCACCCAGGCTAGAGGGCAGTGGTGCAGGCATAGCTTACTGTAACCTCAACTTCTTAGGCTCAAGTGACCCTCTTGCCTCAGCTTCTTGAGTAGCTAGGACTACAGGCATGCACTACCATGCTCAGCTAATTGATTTGATTTGATTCAGAGACAGGGTCTCACCATGTTGCCTAGGCTGGTTCTCAAACTCCTGGGCTCAAGCAATCCTCCTGCCTTAGCCTCTCAAAGTGTTGGGATTACAGGCATGAGCCATAGTGCCCAGCCAATATTTATAGTGAAAAATTTCTATCATAGATAATTTAAAAATATCTCTTTAAGTTGCTTTCCCTTTTTGATTTTGTATTTTGCTTTTTTTGTTTATCTTAGTCTTACTAGAGTGTTGTCTATTTTATTAGCCTTTTCAAAGAGCAAAATTCTGATTGTGCTAGTCCTCTCCATAATTTTTTCTCTATTTTATCAATTTCCTTTTTTTCCCTTTTTTTAGAGAGAGGGTGTCACTCTATCACCCAGGCTGAAGTGCAGTGGCCTGATCATGGCTCACTGTACCCTTGAATTCCTGGGCCCAAATGATTCTCCTGCCTCATCCTCTCAAATAGCTGGGACTATAGTTGCACACACCACACCTGCTAGTTTTTGTATTTTTAGTAGACACAGGGTATCACTATGTTGCCAGACTCGTCTTGAACTCCTGGGCTCAAGTGATTCTCCCACCTCAGCCTCCCAAATTGTTGGGATTACAGGCCTGAGACCTGTGCCTGGCTACTTTATTGATTTCTGTCTCCTTTTTCCATTGTTTTCTCCCTTGTCACAAATTCTTTTTTTGAGTTTACTCCACTGATACTTTTCAGTTTCTGAGTTGAATGTTTAGCTCATTTGGTATCAGTCTTTCTCTTCTGATCTGGTCAAAGCTGTAAATTACTTCCGGGGACTGGATGCTTTGATATGCAGTGTGTTCATTGGCAGTCACCTCTAAATGTTCATTGTTTCCTGCATGATTTTCTTTTTATAGGAGAACCACTTAGAAAGGTTTTGTTTTTGTTTCAGAAAGAGGGGATTTTTTTGATATGTTAAAAATTGATCTTAATATTACTGACTTGTGACTCAAGAACAGAGTCCGTATACCAGTGACTCCCTGGAGTTTATTGTTCTCTGTGGCATTGTTTCCGAATGTTCCCTCTGCGGTCATTGAGCAAGTGTTCTCTGTTGGGAGTTGTAAAATTTATATAGCTGAGGTGGAGATTATTACTTGTGATAGTTCAATCTTCTATGTCTTTGCCTAATTTTGTCTGTGTTATCCAGCAGTTTCTTAAGGGGAACATATCAAAAACTCCAGTCTCCCATTAATTGGTCACCTGTTTCTTTGTGTATTACAGGCTTTTCACTGCATCTTCTTGATCATTTCTTATTTTTACTTTATATAATAAGATTCCTCTTTGTCCCTTTATCATGATCTTGCCTTAAATACTATGATCTAAAAAGAAAATGTGCTATACCACTTACTTTGTGTTTCAGATTTGCTTGATACTTCTATCCCCCCTTTTCAATCCCCTTTTTCCAACTTATGTGGATCTTTTTTTCTATCCCCCCTTTCCAATTTATCTGTATCTTTTTGTTTTAAATTTGTCTCTTCACATAGTATATTTCTGGATATCTTTTTTTCTCTAATTATAAATTCTTTCGCTGGGCATGGTGGCTCACGCCTGTAATCCTAGCACTTTGGGAGGCCAAGGTGGGTGGATCACCTGAGGTCAGGAGTTCAAGACCAGCCTGGCCAACATGGTGAAACCCCATCTTTATTAAAAAAGAAAAAAAAGATAAATTCTTTTGTTTGTTTGTTTTTTCAACCCATTTGCTATTGTATTAGGACTGATTATAGCCATTTTTTTTCTATTATCACACTTTTTTGTTTTGTTTTAAAGAGATGGCATTTCAACATATTGTCCAGGCTGGAGGATCCATCCGCTGCAGCCTTCGGAGTAGCTGGGACTCCTGCAGGCCAGCAGGCTCTTTCTGTTTCCGCTGGGTAGGCTGTATTTCCTGCTGCTTTGAAGAGTATGCAGTGATTAGATTTCACTCAACTTGGGCCAGGCGCAGTGGCTAACACCTAAACTCCCAGCACTTTGGGAGGCCGAGGTGGGAGGATCATGTGAGGTCAGGAGTTTGAGACCAGCCTGGCCAACATGGTGAAACCCCATCTCTACTAAAAATACAAAAATTAGCCGGGCGTGGTGATGCATGCCTGTGATCCCAGCTACTCGGGAGGCTGAGGCAGGAAAATCGCCTGAACCCAGGAGGTGGAGGTTGCAGTGAGCAGAGATCGCGCCACCGCACTCCAGCCCGTGTGACAAAAAAAAAGATTACACTCAATCAGTTAATCCAGGAAAACCTCTATCTTAAGGTCCACAGGACGAATTACACATTGAAAGCCGCTTCCTTCACAGCACTACCCGGATTAGTTTTTGCTGAGTGACCAGTGCTCGCGAGAGCCGCCCGAGATCCGCGGGCACACCGGGCTCCCGCCAACACCAGGACCAGGGCGGGAGCAGCCGCGAGGGGGCGCCACGAGGCGTGCTGACTTTGCTCATGGCGTCCCAAGGCGGCCTCCGCAGGGGCCGTGGAGGCACCCGACTGAGCCTCCACCTCCTGGTCTGGCTTCAGCTCCTTCAGCACCTGCTCAGTGAGGCCGGGAGTGGGCACTGGGCTGCGCCCACGCTGGCTGTGGGGTGGCAGTGGGGGTGCTGTGGGAACAGGCAGATGAGGAGGAGGCACCGCCGGGCCAGCTCCTGTTGTCGTGGGTCCCCGTCTTCACCAGGTGAGCCATACCAACCCGAGGAGGCTTCCAGAGTGACCCCGGCAAGCCCAGAGGCCCGGACGCCTCCCATGCACCTGAAATTCCCGAAGATTCCGGAAACCTCTTTAGCTCCAGGGTCTCCAGAGGCCGCAGGGCCTCCAGGTTCCCGGGTGACTTCGGCATCTGCAGTGGGAGACGCCTCGGAATCCGACGGGATCTCTGACCTTGGAAGGCGGCTTCCTCAGAATATTGTTTCTGGTGCGGGATCTGCCCGGTCCTGCTGGGGAGGGCGGGGCGGGGAGGCCGGTGGTGTCAAACAGGACGCAGCCTGGCTCGGAGTGGGGGCGCGCGGTGAGGGTCAGACCCTGACCTAGAGGACTTGAGGGAGACGGATAACCCACCTCCGCCCTGGGCCGCGGAATGGGGTTGATGGGGAGGCAGTGGCTTCACTTCCAGTCCGGTCTCTTTACTGAGCCCACCAGCCTGCGGCCATCGGATTTCAAGAATAGTTGGAGGATTACCGGCCCCAGACAAGAAGTGGCCCTGGCAGGTGAGCCTACAGACCAGCGACGGACACGGACACGGACACGTCTGCGGAGGCTCCCTGATCGGCAGGCGCTGGGTGCTCACTGCCGCCCACTGCATCCGTGGGTGAGTGTTTGGGGCTCAGAGTTTGGGCCCTGATAAGGCTGTGGGACCTGGAGCCAGTCTGCCCCCCCCCCCCCCCCCCCCCCCCCCCCCCCGCGAGCTTCTGTAAAAGAGGGTGAGACCTGAGGATTTGCATTTCTAACAAGTTTGCAGGTGCCACTGCAGCCGCTGGTCTGGGGGACCACAGGCTAAAGTGGTCGGGGGTCCCGGGGGGATGTGGTTTGAGGGAGGGAGGTGGCTGCTGGCTGTCATAGGAAGATGGGACCAGGCTGGGAAGCACCTGGAAGGCGCGGAAGGAGAGAGCACAGACCCCTTGGGATCTCTGTGAAGTCGGTCTTTTCTCTCAGCACCGGTGAGGAATACAAGGTGAAGCTGGGAGACGCTCACTTGCTTGCTGATTCCAAAACGGCACCGGTGATCCCGGTTCAAGACATCATTTTTCCCAGCAATTTTGATGCTACCACTTTGATAAACGACATTGCCCTCGTTCTGCTCGTCTACTCTGTGAATTATTCCTCACACATCCAGCCTGTGTGCCTCCCCAAAAAGCTTTTCAAAGTGGCAGCTGGGACAGAGTGCTGGGTGACCGGATGGGGGCGAACAGCAGAGAATGGTGAGATCCTCAAGCAGGATGTTGAGGCGGGGCTGGGGTTGGCCTGCAAGCTACTGGGAGAGGCAGGGAGGCTACTTTCTAGCAGGTGGATAAGAGAGGAGGGTGAAGATGCTGCCAGGAAGTAATTTAACAACTGTGTTATGAATTTCTGTTGGTATTTCGGGAGCTGGGGGCTTGGAGGCCAGGTGTAGTAGGTTCTCTTCAGGGTGAATTTCAGCTCAGGGTGATGAGCTGTCTGCCAATAGGAGCAGTCTGTCACTAGAAGTACCTGCCTTGATGGGTTGAACTTCTTCACCCTAGCAGTGTAGGCCAAGCCAGACAACCCTACCAGTGAGGCTGTGGGGGCTCCTATCCTTAGGGAGAGGCACTACCTGTCCAAGGTCTGCGATCCTGCTCTAGAAAGTAAAGATGCTTTACAGATGCACAGGACAGCTTGTCATTTCTGCTGATCCTCATGACAGATATTTGGTTGGCATTTTTCAGGCTGGCAAGGCCTTACCTCCTCCTCCCTTGATTTGTTTTTTCTTTTACTGTCTTGGTTTTGCTTCTTGTCCTTTTCTTTGTCCATGTCAACATTAGGCTCAAGGTTCCTTCTATGTCAAGTGGGGACAATATCCACTGTCCTGACTTCCTTTAACTTGGCAGTTGTGTTGGCACTGATCAGGACTCAGAGTGGGCACTGGGGGCTCCTGTCCTATCCCTTTGTGAAGATTTGCTCTCTTGTAAATTGTCTCTTTGCAACTTCAGGATCAGGGACACCTGTTCTTCAGGAGGCTGAGCTAAGCATCATTCGTCATGAAAAATGCAGAGAGGTGCTCAAGAAGATGGGACACGAGAGTGAAGCGGTCAAGGAGGGGACCGTCTGTGGCTACAGCGCCCAAGGGAAGGATGCCTGTCAGGTCAGTTCATGGGCTCAGCATTGCAGTTGTCTCCTCAAAACTTCCTCATCCGCAGCCAGTAGGGCCTGGGTTATCTCCTAGCCCCTCGGTTTAACCTTGTTCATGGTAATGGGACGTGAGGACAAGCCACCAAGGCAGCCTACCTGATCCTTCAGGAGAGAGCAGCTAACACAGCCTGGAGTGGGAGGAGGGGTGAATCAGGCAGGTCCCACCAACAAGGCGTGCTCCATGTTTTGGGCTCCTTCTGTCTGACAGGCAGTATTATTACTCAGGTAAGCACTAGACTCATTATTGGCTCAGAGTAGGCACGATTTCATCACGTGTATTAAGTTTTTTGGAACACGCCTTTTCAGTAGGTGCATGATTTCGCTTTATTGGAAACCGTCAATTCTCAGCTCTCATATTGACAGATACCTAAGGCTGGGAGTGTCGTGGGGGTTCCCGGGGAAGCCCCCGAGTGCCTAGCTCTACAGCGCATTGCAGTGCAGTCAGCCTGCTCTGACGTGGAGCCTATTTGTTCCCTGCAGTGATTGTCTTTCTTTTTCCAGGGAGATTCTGGGGGACCCCTGGTCTGTGAATTAAATGGCGTATGGGTCCAGGTGGGGATTGTGAGCTGGGGCATTGGCTGCGGTCGCAAAGGATATCCTGGAGTTTACACGGAAGTTAGTTTCTACAAGCAATGGATTGTTGATCACCTGAAACAAGCTTCCTGTCTGGATTCAGCAAACTTTCTCACTCTATTCCTGTGTCTGGTGATGCCCCTGGGCGTTCTGGTGACCCCATGATCAGACTCCATTCCACTCTCCTGCTGTTTCTGAGTCTCACACTTAGGTGTCTCCTCTGACCAACCTCCCACTCCTTCTCAGTGCCTTTTCCACAAATCCTAGTTGGAATTCATGGGCCCTCTGGAGAGCCACAAAATAGAGCATGGCGGGGAGACTGGGGCCTGGAAAGTGTCCCTGACTGGTGCTCTGGTTCCTTGCCTCCACCGTGCCTGCACCAGGGCTGTGCTCTGCCTGGTGGGAAGGAGGGATGAACCGATTCCAGCTAGAGGACCAGCCACCCTGCCAGGGGGCCACAGTGACTCATTGATATCTGCGGGAACATCTATCAAGGAAGAGACATCATCAACCGTGAAGCAAGCGTAGATGTGGTTCTGGTTTCAGGACTCCCACCTGAGACTTTGTGAAACCAGCCAGCTGGGCGATTGCTCAGAGAGTGAAGGGGGCGTTACCAGGTCCCTGCAGAGGTGTGAGGCCTGGGACTTCCACTCTGGCTCAGTTGTCTGGGACTGGGAGAAGTTCCCCTGTAGCCCAGTGTGGTTCCATCTGTGAGTGGACAGCCTCTGCCACACCAGCTCTTTTGGGGCAACCCATTCTTGGCACGCCCTTCCTCAGTGCCTAGTGGTCGCTTTCAGGGACACCACAAGTTGTGTTGAGGCAGTTATGGAGTGTGGAGTTTTCAGAAATCAACTGAATAAATGTTTGGAGAGTCTCCTGTTACTGAAGCTCTGCTCAATGGGGAGTTTGTTGGCATATAACATACTCTGTAGAGCACTGGTTTCCCATTTAACTAAGGAAGCTATTAAAACGTAGAAGGACAGGTGAGGCAGGCCCTGCTTCCTCAGACATGAGCTCTAGGGATGGTTTTAGCCAGTGGGTCTTGTTCCCTGTATACCTGTTATAGTCATCAGCATCACTGCAGGGAGCTCTGTAGTTGAGTTTAACAGCGTTTACAGCTAGGGATAGGGGATCAAGAGACCCTGGAACTGGGCCCAAGAGTGAAGCTGGGGTGTGAGAAATATTGCTCTTTCTCTACTGCTTCTCCTTGCGGTTCCCTCCCACTTGGTTACCAAAGACGTGCGTTCCTACCAGGAGAAGGGCAAGAGAGATTCACTGTACTGTACATAGGTTCTCTTCCCTCATTACAATGTCCGCTGTCCTGGAGTCTGTCTCGCTGCTGATCAACTCCCTCCCAACCTCTTGCCCTTTGACCTTCTAGGGTTGAATGTTTAACCCCCAGGTATGGGTGGGCTTCAGTCTGAATCAGTCCCTTCTATTGTCTGAGGAAGGCTGAGGCTGAGAGACTGAGAGCTTAAATCAAACCCAGTCTCTCAATGAATATAGTACTACTTGCTTTAAGAAAATGCTGATTTATTTATAAATAAACCAAATTTAACTTTTTTTCCTAGAACGTCCAATTCTGGTGTTCTTGATCAGCAGGTAGCTTTCTCCATCTCATGGCTTGCTCTTGGTCCTGTAGTTCATGCTTTACCTGCATCAGAATCTCCTAAGGCTTGTGAAAATACAGATTACTGGCCTGCACAGTGTGGCTCATGCCTATAATCCTGGCTACCTGGAAGACTGAGGCAGGAGGATTCCTTGAGGCCAGGAGCTTGAGCTCTTAAAAAAAAAATAGCTGGGTGTGGTGGCCTGTTGGCCTGTGCCTGTAATCCCAGCTACTCTGCAGGCTGAGGCAGGAGGATGTCTTGAGCCCAGGAGTTTGAGGCTGCAGTGATGTATGACCATTCCACTGCACTCCAGCCTGGGGGACAGGAGGAGACCTCACCTCTTAAACAAAACTTACAGACTACTGGTTCCTAGTTCCACCCCTGGAGTTTGCTTTATTTTTATTTTCATTCATTTGTTGAGACGGAGTCTCACTCTGTCGCCCAGGCTGGTGTGCAGTGGCACAATCTCAGCTCACTGCAGCCTCCACCTCCCAGGTTCAAGCAATTCTCCTGCCTCAGCCTCCTGAGTAGCTGGGACTACAGGCGTGTGCCACCATGCCCAGCTAATTCTTGTATTTTTATTAGAGACAGGGTTTCACCATGTTGGCCAGGATAGTCTTGATCTCTTGACATTGTGATCCGCCCACCTTGGCCTCCCAAAGTGCTAGGATTACAAGTGTGAGCCACTGTGCCCAGACACCCCTGGAGTTTTCAATTCTATAGGTCTGAGACGGGGCCTACATTCTCTGTCTTTCAGGTAGAAAGACCTAAAAGAATGTACATTTCTAACAAGAATGTACATTTACCTGAAGGACCTAAAGACCTTTAATTTCTAAGTTCCTAGCTTGTCTGAAGACCTCACTTTGAGAAGCAATGCTCTGGATTAACCTTCTGTTGACTGCCTTGGCATGGAAGTGGCACACATCACTCTATTCATGTGGACCCACTTAGATGCCAGGCTGGGGAGGGAATGTGGCTCCAAGTCCACCTGATTACCTCCCAATCTCTGCCATGCCTAGCAGATCCAAAGACAACATCCTTCTGCAAAAAACAAAACAAAACAAAAAAAACCCTATGGAAGTGCAAGGCCTGGCAGAAGCCACCATTCCCTTTAGCTGCCACGATCTTACTGGTTGTCTGTGGAAGAGGACACATGCCTTTCCTTTCTCTGGTCTCCTCCAAGAGTCCTTGTTTTATAGTAGTCGTGGGTCCAGCTCAAATAGCACTTTCTCAAAGACGTCTTCTCTGATTGCCTAGCCTTACCGTTCTTTTCCTTTTTTGTGCTTTCTCCAGCTTTCCAGATTCTCAAACTAAGTAATTGTGAAACTCTCCGATGCACCGGGCCCAGGGGACCAAGGGTGTAGTCAGAGGCTGGGCAACAAGGTGCCATCAGTAGCCCAGGGATTTGGTGCACCTTCACCCGGACACCAACTTAAAACCCTTGGAGTTGCTTTAATGGGGCCCGCCACCCTGGGAGCAATCCCAGACCCAGGACTCCCAGGTCGTCCTCAAGAACAGGCAGGAGGTGGAGGTGCGGGAATTGGGCCAGTCTTGCAGGGGAGCTGTCAGGAATTCCCGGAGCGTCACATGCTAGAGTGCGGTCACGTGCGCGGACGCCAGACACGTGCTGGGCTCTCAGAAAACGGTCTCCGCAGTCGCCAGGTGACGCCTCCCCAGCCTTATGGCCGTCTCTTGGTCGAACCTCGGTGCGGGGCCGGGAGCCTCCAGGCCCTCGGTCCTGAGCCATCGCGTCCTACTGCCGCTGCTTCTCCTGCTGCCACTGAGCTCGGGTGAGGTGGGCGCTCCTCCTAGCTCTACCTTCCCTCTTCCCGCCCCCAGCGCTGCTCTGCCTCAGGCTCCGTGCCTGGCCTTGGAGGCCCGGGACTGGCAAAGGGCTGTGGCTGCCTACTCCTCAGTCGAGGACTTTTGCGACCAACCCACCCCTCGGTCAGCTCTTCTCTACTACTCGCTCACCAGGGCGATTCCAGGACCTTAAACTTCTGCCCGCTCTGGCCTCCTGCGTCAGGCCACGCCTGTCCTACAACCCTCTGGACCCGCGGTGTGGGGAACCCCTGCCTTCTCTCCTCCACTGGCAGCCGCTTCCTTCGCTGCCAGTCCGGACAGCGTGGCTAATGTCCCCACCATCCAAGCCGCCCTCTCCAGAGCATCCTCAGGCCTCTCACTCCCCCTTCACCCTCGGGTCTGATCTTCCCAGGGAGCTGAGTCCCCCAGGAGACGCCACTTGGACATGCTCTTTGGCCCAGGAAAATTCTTGGTCCCCATCCGCTTACAGGAACATTCTAATATTCACCTTTTTCCCAGATCCTCTGTTCCAACCCAGCTTTCCCTCCTTAGCAGCCCATCATTCCCTCAGACAACACAGGCTTCGGGTGCTTTCTTCCTGAACTGAATCCCCAACCCACAGGGGCCCCTCCAAACTGGACTGCTCAACACCACCTTCACCTACTTTTTTAGGAGTCAGAGAGACCTGCTCCAGTGCAGTGCGGGCTCCCTGTGCGACGCTGCGTCCATCATCCTCACATAGGTAACCTCTCGTTTCTGCCTTGCTGATTTTCCTCCTTCATCTCTTGCCCCTTCAAGGCCAGACTCCCCAGATGTCTTCACTCCATGCTTCCTGCCAGTGCCTCCTTGCTCCCCACTTAACCCTTAGCTCCTCCCAGGGATGTCTCCACCCTGGTGGTCCCTGGCCTTGTTACCACTCCCTCCTCTTTCATTTTCTGTGGGTCCTGAGTCTCCTGTACCTCAAGGGTCACTCTCTCTCTCCTCTGTCTGCCCCAGGCCACCATGCTCTGCTCATCCCTGATGTATTGGTGTCCCCTAAGCTGCTCTCTGTGTTTCCTGCTCCTTGTCTGTTAACTGCTCCCTGGGTGAACTCACTTGAGCTGCCGTTCATGTGATGGTGCCTCATAAAACATGTCTGGATGTGCAGCTGCCTCTTGAATATCTCTACCTGAAAGACCTAGAAACGTCTCAACCCCTTGGAGTCAAAGCTGAGGCCTTCATCTTCCTACCAACTGACTTCTCTCATTGTTTCCTAACTCAGTGGATGGCAGCTACTCTTCTCCAAAGCCAGAAACTGGGGTGTGATTCTAAGTCCCACACACAGCTCGCCGTATCTGTTCTCACCGTCGCTGCCTCATTCAGACCTCCTCATTTCTTGTGTTGGTTCTGCAGAGCCTCTGGTGGGATCCCCGTGCCCTCCGTCTTGTCATCTTCCTGTCTAATATCTCTGCTGCCTTCACGATACACGCCTGGCTCAGTCTTACTTCTGTTGATCTCCCTTTACCCAGAAGGTCTCACCCTGGCTTCTTGGCTCAGCTTTCTAGGCCTTCGTGACTGATGCCTGACTCTCCTCCCCTGGCTGATCTCTTGCCCTCACAGGCCTTGCCCCTCATCCTCTGGAGTCTCTGGCATACACCACAATGTTTCTTCTGCCAGGAATGTGATGATCACTTTTCATTTCTGTTTTACCCTCTCGTCTTTAACACCTGGCACAGTAAGCCCTCCTCCCACTGAGGTGGTTCTTTTCTGTCCACCACTTCTTCTGGGCTCCCCTGATGCCTGCGGCTCTGTCTCTGCACTGATCGCATGCAGGCAGTTGTGTATTTCCCTCTGTCTGCCCTGCTGGACACTGTATTCCTTGAGAGTAGGCTCTGTTTGACACACCTCTGTCTCCCCAGCCTCTGGCTCCAGGCTGGGAACAGAGTAAGAGATTAGGACCTATTTGGTGAATGAATGAGCGAACTAATTTAAAAATGCGGCTTTTTGCTGTCATCCTGTCATGAACACTTGCTTCATATCTGTCCCTCTTTTCTCCTCCAGGTTCTAAAGAGGACACCACCAGTCCAGGTAGGTAGGGTGAGACCCTGCTGCAGGAAAAGCTGAAGCTCCCAGGAGGGTGTGTTCTGAAGGGATCACAGAGACCGTGGTTCTGGGTCTGTAGGAAGCAGGCTTTGGGTCTAAGGGGTCTGTTTTCTAAAGAACAGCCTGCAGCTACCAGAACATACAGACCTAACAGTCTAGAGGAAAGAGGATCCAGGCCTCCCATTGGAATGCTGAGTCTCTTTGAATTCAGCCCAGGCCTCATCTCAGACCATTTTCCACACAGAATCTTATGAGCTCTAAGCCATTCAGTTGCAGAAGAGCTTCCTGGGCCCTGTGGCAGTGTCAGCAGAGCCCAGCTCTTCTGGGGTTTCCTGTCTTTTTCCTTTACACCTTAGGCATGGAGCGTTGGATTGCTCCTGTGCTTCAGTTCTTGGACCTCCCTTCTCATAGGTCCTGCTAGAACTGATTCATTACAGATTAGATGAACGATTGATTAAGTCACCTATCCCTGCTTCTGTCCATTCCCCTTCTCTACCCACTTATCCTTTCTTGGGGATCTTTCTGTTTGTGTGTGCTCTTGTAAAAATACATATTGCTCTTCTGTGTGCATGCATTTTTAATTTACATAAATGGTATATTCTCTGTATCTCTTTCTGTTCTCTTCTCTTTTAATTCAGCCTCATTAAGACATTTTAAAAATATGGAAATAATTTAAAACTTACAAAATACTGCAAAAATACAAGTATTACAAGGAACACACACACATATATAATTTTTTTCAGAATCAGTGGAGGGTAACTTTGATATGTATTTTCTGAGAATATTCTCTTCTGTAACCACAGCACACTTAACAACTTCAAAGGTTTACATGAATACCGTACTTTTATCTACTATTTCTATTCTAATTTGGTTAGTTCTCCAAACTCCTACTTCAACAGTGCATGAAGGTGTATAGGTTGCCACGGACCTCGCTGCCAACCCTTGTTGTGATCCTGCTTTTATGTTTTTTGCCAGTCTAAAAGACTGAAACATGCTTCTTGATTTAATTTTCATCTTTCTCATTACTAATGAATTTGAGTATGTCTCAATAGGTTGTCGGCTCCTTGAGTTTCCTCTTCTAGTAAATTGCTTGTCTCTATCCTTTGCCTATTACCTTTCTTTTTCTTGTTGATTTCCTGGAGTTTCTTGCATATTTCTAATAAAAGCCTTGTATTCATTTTAGTTATTGCAAATATTTCCTCCCAATCTGTCCTCTGTCTGTTAGCTGTGCTCCCAGGCCAAAACTCCTCTATTTGGGCATAATCAGGTTAATCAGCTTATGCTTTATGGTTTGTGTTTTGAGGTTTTAAGGAGTCCTTTCCTCCCCCATGTCGCATGATTTATTAATTTTACAGTTTTGTCTTTATATCTTCAAGAGCTATTCGCAAGGAATCCAGTTTTGGTTTTCTTATTTCTTACAGTGAGCCAGCTTTCCCAACACCATCTTCTCAACAGCCCTTCTTTTACCCACTGATTGTAGTGGCTTCTTTATTTACATCAAGTTTGTGCAACACATGGAATAATTTCAAGCTCTCTATTCTTTTCCAGTGTCACTTTCCACTGTCGGTCCTTGTGACAATACCACACTGTTTTTGGCTTTCACATGTGTCTTAATGTCTGCTAGGACAAGTGGTCCTTCTTTGCTCTACTTTTTCAAACACTGAACTATTCATAGACCTTTATTTTTGTATTTCAGTTTCAGAATTAAGTTTATCAAGTTTCTTAAAAGTTCTAACTTGAAAATAAATTTATAGATTAATTTTGGGAAAAATTACATCTAAAATATTTAGGCGTTCTTTTTTTTTTGAGATGAAGTCTTGCACTGTTGCCCAGGCTGGAATGCAATGGTGCGATCTCAGCTCACCACAACCTCCACCTCCTGGGTTCAAACGATTCTCCTGCCTTAGCCTCCCAAGTAGCTGGGATTACAGGCACCTGCCACCATGCTAGGCTAACTTTTTGTATTTTTAGTAGAGACAGGGTTTCATTATGTTAGCCAGGATGGTCTGGAATTTCTGACCTCATGATCCACCCGTCTCGGCCTCTCAAAGTGCTGGGATTACAGGTGTGAGCCAATGTGCCCAGCCTTAGCTGTTCTTTTAGAACAGGGACTGTCTTGCCATTTATGCTGATCATTTTCAGTGTCTTTTATTATAGTTTTAAATTTATTACAACAGGAGTCTTATGTGGTGTTAGGTAAGTTAGTTGCTATGAACTTTAGCATTTTTTTGCTGTTGAAAATGTTTCTTACTTGAGTATATTTTCTAGTTGGTCGTGCCGGGATAGAAAGATGTTATTAACTTTAAAAGGAAATTGTTTTATTGAAGTATTATATGCATTCCAAAAACGTGCACGAATTATGAAGGTCCAGCTGAAGGAATTGTCACACAGTGGGCACACCTATGTTATTACTACTCAGGTTAAAAGGTAGAATAAGTGCTTAGAGAGGCTGAGATGGGAGGATTGCCTGAGCCCGGGAGTTTGAGACCAGCCCTGGCAACATAGCAAGGCTGTCTTTATAAAAAATTAGAAAAAAAATTAGGTGTGGTGGCAAGCGCCTATAGTCCCAGTGACTTGGGAGGCTGAGGTGAGAGGATTGCTTGAGCCTGAGGTCAAGGCTGCAGTGAGCTGTGACACTGCACTGCAGCCTGGATGACAGAGCAAGACCCTGTCTCAACAACAACAACAAAAAAAGTAGGCTAGTACCAGCACCCAGCAGCCCTGTCTCGTTCTCTCAATGATTTCCTCTGCCCTCCTCCCACAAAGCATCCTTATTCCTGATGTCTGGTGGAATAGGTTCTTTTCTACCTGTTCTTTAGTGTTGTATGATGTTTGCTGTAGGTTTGGGATATATCCAACGTTTGTAAAGTTAAGGATTTTCCTCCTATTTCTAGTTTAAGTAAGAGGGTTTTTCTTGGTAAGTCATAAATATGTGTTACATTTTTCTAATGCCTTTTTCTGTGGCCATGGAGAAAAGCACATGGTCTTTTTCTCTTCAGATTGTTAGAACTTTTTGTGGGGAATCCACTGAGGGTTCTAACAATGTGGGACCACCCTTGCATTCCTGGGCCAATCCTTAATCATCACGGTGCATTGTTTTTTAAAAATACAGTGTTAGCTAATGTTTTATTTAGAATGCTTGGATCTGTGTTTCTTTATACATTCATACAAGCCTAAAACTTGACTGATGGAACTGCGTGCACATTGAGTGCATGGCCTGTGAGTGAGGGGCCACTGGGATCTCCCTGCTGGCACTTTGAATGTTCAATGTGAAAACTTCTGACACAGAAGTCAGGAGCTTTTCTTGACTCTGAGCAGTGCAGGGTACAGAGGCCTTCTGCATCTAAGAGGTATAGCAAGCATTATAGCTTTTCAGAAGTGGCTGAGGAACTTCCCCAAACACAAGAAAATGCATTTTTTGCCTTGGAGCTCCTTCTCTGCTTGCCTTTGTTTTGAGGTTGTGGGCTGAAGGCTCCCTGTGACTCGGAATCTCTCTCTCTCTCTCTCCATGTCTCTGCCTTGATGCTTTTTACCTCTGTCATTGTCACTTTCTGTCAAGCTCAGTGCCTTTGGGCAGGCCACTGCTCTTCTCTCACCCACACTCTCCCCATCTCTGAAATGGGAAGAGGCCCTGAGTTTACAGCTTTGTGCAAATTGGCCCTGTAGGGTGTCTCAGTCTCAGTCATTCTCATCCTCCTCTATGTGGTCCCTGTCTCTCCCTGGCACACTTCTTCCTGAAGTTTGTGGTGAGCCCTGGTGGTCGGAAGATTTGGAAATGACCCGCCATTGGCCCTGGGAGGTGAGCCTCCGGATGGAAAATCAGCACGTGTGTGGAGGGGCCCTCATTGACCCCAGCTGGGTGGTGACTGCGGCCCACTGCATCCAAGGGTGAGTGTGGCCAATGTGTCTAGTGCCTGGAGACCCTGAGCTACCATGGGCCCAGCCCAGCTCCCTCATTTCCCCAGTGAAACAGTGTGAGAGGGAGGGAGTGGAAAAGGCATCTGGGATAGGGGAGAGTTTTGCTTGGGGTCTCCTAGGGGGCCAGGGACTGAGCTGGGGCAGGAGCCCCAAGCAACAAAGACTGCACCCTAAGCTGAGCCACAGGAAAACCCAGAACACACTCCCTGCCTCATCACGCATGAGAACATATGTGAACACCCAACACTTCCACACCTGCACGCACAACACACAGACCAGGCCACCCGGAATCCACTTGAATGGTGAATGAGGAGGCAGTCAGCTCCTGACCTTCAGGGCCCTTAGGCTAGATTAGGCAGATGGAGTGGAGACAGGACTCCTGCTAAGGGGGAAGGGCCACAGGGAGGTAGGAGCATGTTCCTGCTTGGGAGCTGAAACCTACCAGCTGGGGCTTTCTGTCTCCCGCAGCACCGAAGAGTACTCAGTGGTGCTCGGTACCTCTAAGCTGCAGCCTATGAACTTCAGCAGGGCCCTCCGGGTCCCTGTGAGGGACATCATTATGCACCCCAAGTACCGGGGCCGGACCTTCATCGTGGGTGATGTTGCCCTTGTCCACCTTCAAACACCTGTCACCTTCAGTGAGTACGTGCAGCCCATCTGCCTCCCGGAGCCCAACTTCAACCTGAAGGTTGGGACGCAGTGTTGGGTGACTGGCTGGAGCCAGGTTAAGCAACGCTTTTCAGGTGAGCAGGATGGGATGAGGCGTGGGTACTGTGCCACCAAGAGCACACTCCTTTCATTCTGGAGCGCTTCCTGCTGGACCTGGTTCTCTGATTGTGTTAGGACCACTCCTGATGTGGTGACCATGGTCACTATGCGGACACCTCATTCAGGCCTGGTAGTGCCTGGGCTGGCCGTGATCATCTGTGTCTTACAGAAGCACAGAGCTGGGCATCCAGAAATTCACTCACTCACTCATTCATTCGCTTGACACACTTCAGGTGCCAGCACCCAGCCCTTGGCACTAGAAATGCCTGCCCTGCCTGGAGGAAGTCATGATTGGATGTGGGTATGGGCACAGGGGCTGAGGAGAATGAGGCAAAGGTCTTGTCAGACAGTCTTGAGATATGGCTGGGAGGGTCCAGAATGAGCTCTGGGCAGAGGGACTGCCTGGAGGCCCTGGAGGAAGAGCCAGTGTTAATGAAGGTGGAGGGAGCACCCAGCCAGCAGAGCTCAGAGTCTGCAGGGAAGCAGTGCCAGGCTGGGCCCCAGCTTGGAAGCAGCTGCACTGAGACTTGAATTACGGCTGGCTTGGTTCAGAAGTAGAAGCTTCCCAAGCTGGCTTGGACTCAGAGCCTTCAAGGGCAGGGGACCTTCTCAGACAAGGCCTACACTGCAGGAGGAGGGGCCGCTGAAGGAGGGGAGGGCTTGGAGGTGTGGCGGGGTGGCTGGGCTGAGTCTCCAGGGTGGAGGGGACCAGACCCTGGACAGAGGTCAGGGTTGGGTAGAGTGAGAGGTCAGTGCTCACCCTGCTCGGCTCCACAGCCAACTCCACGCTGACCCCAGAGCTGCAGGAGGCTGAGGTGTTTATCATGGACAACAAGAGATGTGACCGGCATTACCACAAGAAGTCCCTCTTCCCCCGAGTCATCCCCCTTGTCCTGGGGGACATGATCTGTGCCACCAATTATGGAGAAAACTTATGCTATGTGAGTTTCTGGGAGGTTCTGGTAGCTCCACTTCTGTCGGGAGCCACTCCTGGGTGGGGGCAGTTCCCTGGGGTGGGGTTGGCTCTTGCCTTCCTTCCCCTGTGCTGCTGACTTTGGCCCTGATTCTGAGGTACGGGTCCCAGCTGAGGAGCCAAAAGAGGACCCCAAGTAGTGAGGTCCTGGAGGAGTGAAAGTCCTCCTAGCAGAGCTCAGAGGGTGGGCATGGGTCCTCAGGGCCCTGCAGGCCCAGATGGACCTGCAGCCTCCATCACTCCTCTCTTTTTGTCTAGGGGGATTCTGGGGGGCCATTGGCTTGTGAAGTCGAGGGTGGATGGATTCTGGCTGGGGTGTTGTCCTGGGAAAAGGCCTGTGCAAAGGCACAGAATCCAGGCGTGTACACCCGCGTCACCAAATACACCAAATGGATCAAGAAGCAAATGAGCAATGGAGCCTTCTCAGGTCCCTGCGCCTCTGCCTGCCTCCTGTTCCTTTGCTGGCTGCTGCAGCCCCGGATGGACTCCTGACCTCCCTACCCCTTCCTCCTCCTGCCTCACCTCTGCTGAATGGGGCCAGATGGAGGTTGAACCAAGGTCATGTGTCCATCTGCAACAAGAGTCAGGGTGGGGAAGATTAACCCCTGGGAGAATGGGTCTGGCTTTGGCATGCCAGCGAGGAGAACTGTGGTGGATGACTAGGCTTTGGGTAAGCAGGAGCAGAGAAGTGTGGCCTGGAAAGATTCTGGAATCTCGGACCAGGAGAGTAGGGATTAAACGTGTATAAACTTGAGCTGACTCTTTTCTCTTTTCTCGGGTAGTTCTGGGGGTTGGCCATGGGTGGGAGGGCAAAGCTTCCCGGAATTAAGTCTGCCAGGAGCTTCCCTGGAGTGGGGAGTGACGGTTTTTGCTGTATCATTAGTGCTGGGGCTTAGGGAAAGGGCCTGGGCTGTGGCCTCAGTTTCCTTGTCTGTAAAGTGGGCATGCTGTTAAGGGAACAGCTGAAACATGCAGGCTTTTAGGCTACAGGAGGAGTGACTCATGATGGTACTCCAAAAGCAGCATTCCTTTTTTGTTTTTTTATAAAGGGATTATAAAAGTGATGCATGTTTATTGTATAAAATTAGAAAACACAGCCAAGCCTAAAGAAAGGAAATTTCCCCTGGAGTCCCACCGCATGGAGACATCCACTTCTCATTCTGGTATACTTTCTTCTACATTTTTTTTTCTTAAAAAAGATTTTTTAAAGAAAAATGTAGGATAAAATATACTAAAACAAGGAGTGGATATCTCCGTGTGATTATTTTATTGTTCTTTTTGTAACCTCTTGAGTAGTATGCTTAGTTCATTATTTTAGACTTCCTTGTGTTCCAATATTTTCAGTTAATTCCATAATTTTTTCTCTGAGTCCCACTTTGGCTATATTTCACAGGATTTGGTATATACTGGCCTCATTGTCATTCATTTCTGTATTGTTTATAATTTCACTGTATTTATTATTTAACCCAAGAGTTATAATAGACGTGTGTTATTTAATTTCCCAGTGGGTACTTTCGGGGAGGAGTGAGGGCTTCTTTTTCCCTGTAACACTGCAGTCATGTGCCACATAATGACATTTCAGCCAATTACAGATTGCATATACAAGAGTGGTCCATAAGATTAGAAAGGAGCATATGTGGAAACCTGATAGTGGCACTGCAGACAAGTAAGGGAAATGACTGATGTTCAGTAATGGTGCGGGGACATTTGGTTTTCCTGATGAAAAAATACATATACATAAAAATATATATTTACCATCTAGGTGTGTGTAAGTACACTCTTATGTTCACATAGTGATGAAATTGCCTAACAATGCATTTCTCACACTGTTTCCCTGTCATTAAGTGAAGCATCACTGTATATGAATTTAATTATTTCTGCATTTTTAAATTTTTTTGAGGTTTTATATGTGGCTTAGTATTTGGTCAGTTTTAGTGAATGTTACATGTGTGTCCGAAATGAAAGTGTAAGTTTTCACGAATGTTCATTGCAGCACTATTCATAGTAGCCGAGACCTGGAATACTCCTAAAAGCCCATCAGTGACACAGGATAAAGAAAATGTGTTACATATACATCATGGAATACTATGCAGCCATAAAAAAGAATGAGATTATGTCTTTTTTGGGAAAATGGATGGAGCTGGAGGCCATTATCCTTAGCAAACTAATGCAGGAACAGAAAACCAGATACCACATGTTCTCACTTAAAAGTGGGAGCTAGATGATGAGAACACATGGACACATAGAGGGGAACAGCAGCACCGTTGTTCCTGGAGCCTTCTTGGTTTTAGCGATCCAAGGGAGGAGGGAGAGGAGCAGAAAAAATAACTATTGGATACTAGGCATAGTGCCTGCATGATGAAATAATCTGTACAACGAACCCCCACGACACGAGTTTACTTATACAACAAACCTGCACATGTACTCCTGAACCTAAAATAAAAGTTAAAAAAAAGAGAAAGTGTGTTTTAGAACAAAGTTTGAGCCGTAACCGATTGGATCAGGCTTATTGATTGTGTTATTCAAATCATCTCAACACTAGCCATATTTTACAGCTACATAATTGGTTGATTTCTAAGAAGTTTACCACAAAAATTAAGAATTTGTCTATTTTTTCTTGCACAATTCTTGCTTTCTATGTTTCAAAGCTGTGTTGTTAGGAAAACAGGGTTCATGTCTCCTGTATTATCTTAGTGCGTTATACACTATCAATATAAAACATGCCTTTTGTCCTACATCACATTGCTTGTTTTTTCCAAGATCCAGATCAGAGTTCATTCTTAATTTTGGCTGTTCTTCTAAGTGATTAAGGTACAATTTTATATTTTGTACTTCTTTTACTTCAGATTGTCTTCTGGTTTATTTTCTACCTTTTATAGTTTTTTGATTTGAGTATTTAGGTCACTTATTTTCATTCTCTGTTATTCAATAAACACCTTTAAGGTTATGGATTTGCCTTGGGCACACCCAATAAGGTTTTTAATAATGCATTGCTCTAATTATTAGTGTCCTCTTATTAGTGGTTGTATAGATATTTCATCTCTCAAAGACAGAGTGAGTTGGAGAAGACTCTCCCACTGTAAGTGAGATTTTTCATTTTCTCATATATTGCTGATTGATTTTGTTTCATATGTTTGACGTTATTTTATTGGTGGACAGAACTTTGTGATGTTACTTTTGTAATTTGTGTCTTTTTTCAACACAAAATAGCTTTCTTTTTCTGCTTAAATCGTTTGTCTTGAATCATTTTAGGGATGTTAACATTACCATCACTACTTTTGCTTGTATATACTCAATATGTTTTTGCCCATCTTTTTTTTTTTTTTTTTTTTTTGTGACATAGAGTCTTGCTGTGTCATCCAGGCTGAAGTGCAGTGGTGCAATCTCTTGCCTCAGCCTCTCGAGTAGCTGAGACTACAGGCATTCGCCACCACACCTGGCTATTTTTTGTATTTTTAAGAGAGATGGGGTTTCACCATATTGGCCAGGCTGGTCTCAAACTCCTGACCTTGTGATCCACCTACCTTGGCCTCTTAAAGTGCTGGGATTACAGGCATGAGCCACCATGCCCTGCCATTTTTGCCCTTTTAAAAATTTAATTAATTTTTTAAAAAATTATTATTTTTTGAGACAGGGTCTCACTATGTTGCCCAGTCAGGAGTGCAGTGGCATTATCTCAGCTCACCACAATCTCAGCCTGCTGGGTAGCTGGGACCATAGGTGCATGCCACACCTGGCTAATTTATTTTTATTTTTGGTTAGAGACAAGGTCTCACCATGTTGCCTAGGCTGGTCTTGAACTCCTGGGCTCAAGCCATTTGCCCGTCTCAGCCTCCCAAAGTTCTGGGATTGCAGGTGTGAGCCACCAAGCCCAGCCACATCTTTTTACTTTCACCTTATTTATGCCAATTTGTTATTGGTGCATGTCTAATTAGTAGTATGTGAATGGGTTTTGGTGTGTGTCTAGTAGTACGTGAATGGGTTTTTGGTGTGGGTCTAACTGTAGTATGTGAATGGTTTTTTTTTCTATTCAACACGAGGTTCTTTTCCTTTTAAAAGTCGAATTACATGCATTCACGTTGGTTGTGATAACAGATATGCCTGATCTTTATTCAGTTATCCTATTTTGTTTTATTGACTGATTGGTTGTTTCCCCCAAATAATTATTTTCCACAAAGGCAGAAGAGTAGATAGCGTTTCTCTTCTCTGAAATTTCTCTTTTCTTTCTCTCCCTTTCCCTCTGTCTTTCCTCCTAGAGTGAATCTGATTGAACAGATAATAATTTCCTTGATTTTCTACCATATATCTCTAAAATTAGTTTGTTTTGCCTGTTTTTGAATTTCATACAATCTGTGTACCCTTTTGTATCTGACTTCTTTCTCTTGGGATAGAGTGATGAGCGTCACCATCTAGCTAGGGGTAGCAGCGCTTGTCCATTCTCACTGCTGCTGAGGAGTCTGCATAGCTGCTGCACCTTGGATGGCGGTTGGGTAGTTTCCAGCTGGGGCTCTTCCCAACAGTGCAGCTAGTGAACAGTCTCCTGCACCTATCCTGCTGCATCTGTGCAGTTTCTAGGGCACAAAGCCAGGAGTGGAACTGTGGGTGTGGGGCAGGCACACTTTCTGCTCTGCTAAATGATTCCAAACATTGTTTCCAATGGACATGTCAGTTTAGCTCTCCAGCAGTGTGTGAACAAGCTTGGCAGCACTGGCAGCAGGGTGAAGCAGGAGCTTCCTGCAGGGGCAGTATGAGGAGCCTGGGATCCTTGGGAGGGTAGACCTCAGGGGAGTGGTGGCAAGGTGTCCCCAGATGTCATTCATTTTGCTGATTCATGAAGACCCAAGTCTGCAAGATGCTTCCTCTTAGGAAGCCACCTTCTTAGGCTAAACATACCTAGATTTCCTCAACCCAGGAGCTCTTCCCTTGAAAATACAGACCCTGGGCCTTATTTTCACTGCCATGAGTTGCAGTGGCTCATGCCTGTAATCCCAGCACTTTGGAAGGCCCATGGGGGAGAATTGCTTGAGGCCTGGTGCTTGAGACCAGCCTGGGCAACACAGCAAGACCTTGTCTCTAAAAAAATAAAAAATAAATTAGCCAGGCATGGTGGTGCACACCTGTGGTCCCAGCTACTCGGAAGGCTGAGGTAGGAGAATTGCTTGAGTCTAGGAGGTGGAGGCTGCAGTGAGCTATGATCCCACCATCACACTCTAGCATGGTGACAGTGAGACCCTCTCTCTTAAAAAAAGAAAAGAAAAAACGAAAAGAAGAAAAGTAAAGAAAATACAGACCGTGAGGGAAAAAAGAAACCTTCAGTTCCACCTTAATCACATCACACACTACAAGAGCTAGTTATCCTCCCCACTCAGTGCCTCAGTTCCCACACCTCCAGGGGGCATCAGAGGGGCTTCATGAAGGGGCCTGGGCTGGGCACTAGGGTGCTTCATGGTCCAGGCACCAGGCACTGTCATGAGCTAGACACGTTGTACTGTCACAGGCTCGGAACTACACACTGGGACACCAACAAGGCCAAGGCTGGGCATCAGGTACACTACAGAGAGCCGGGCCCAGAAGGCAGTGTCATGGGCTGGGCACCAGGAATACCACTCCAGGGAGGTTCCCAATAACACCATCACCTTGTAGCCCTGGCAGGGCCTTGCCATGACCACACTGCCTCCTTCCCAGAGTCCTGAAACTGCCACAGCCAGATAGACCCCTAACCTGGGGCAGACGCCTACTCCCACAATCCAGAACACATAAACCATGTGTTCTAGAATCTTGGCAGGTGCCCCACTCCCTCTGCCTCCACAACCGATTAGAAGGAGCAGTGAGGACTAGATACCTGCTTGCCATGGCCTGTGGGCTGGGGGATCTTCAAGGCCTTCTTACATCTCCACTTCCTTCTGCCATATTAGATAATCAGCCGTATATTGATGGTAGGGCTTCAGGGTCATGGGGTGGAGGCTGGAGGGGTCTGTTCGCTAGGGTGTCTGTGTCGGGCTGTCCTCATACCTGAGGGGCCTCTATGTGTCCATGTCCTGATGGGTGGTACATCCTCAGCAGACTGGGGGCCCAAATGGTGCCAGGGCAGTTCCAATTTCCAGGGTGGCCATTGAACACAGGGGAGAAGAGCCTTATTAAAAATGGGGGAACACAGCAGGTGCGATCGCTCATGCCTGTAATCCCAGCACTGTGGGAGGCCAAGGAGAGCAGATCACTTGAGGCCAGCAGTTTGAGACTAGCCTGGCCAACATGGCAAAACCCTGTCTCTACTAAAAATACAAAAATTATCTGGGCATGGTGGTGCACATCTGTAATCTCAGCTCCTTAGGAGGTTGAGGCATGAGAATAGCTTGAACCTGGGAAGTGGAGGTTGCAGTGAGCTGAGATTACACCACTGCACTTCAGCCTGGGTGACAAAGTGAGATTCCATCTCAGAAAAAAAAAAGGAAGGGACTAACATCCATGGAACGAATGAGCTTGTTTGGGAGGCACGGTCATAGGAGACCCATCTTGCGATAATGGGGAAGTTAGGTGGAGTGCCCACTCTGTATCAGCGTGGCTGAGACTGAGTGAGGTCGCAACACCCTTCTGGCGAGCTTCACCAGCATTCCCATTTCACAGTGGGAAACTGAGGCTCACGGAGCTTCAGTGGTTTGCGAATGCTGGAGCCAGAATTCAGTACCTGTGTTCAGTAGACTCTTTGGGGGTAAAAGAGGATGACATAAATTTCGTGAAGGATTCCACATTTTAAAGAAAAGATTGATTTTTTTTTTAGAGACAAGATCTTGCTCTGTCACCCAGGCTGGAATCCAGGGTGCAATCCTAGATCTCACCATGTGGCTCAGGCCGGCCTTGAACTCCTGGCTTTAAGCCATCCTCCCTCCTGGGCCTTCCAAAGCTCTGTGATTGCTGGTGTGACTTCCTTCCTTGCTTATCCTTTGTGCATTACCAGTCCAGACTGGGCCAATTTAAAATCTCCATCTCACATCTGGTTCAATGCAGCCTACTCTCCTGTCACCCCTGTTGCTGGGGCCAGTGAGAGTCAAGGAGGGAATGGACACTCATCTCTACTCACTTCCTCACAGGGTCACAAGAACCACACCTCCAGGGGCATGGTCTGTATCAGAGTGGCCCCTGGAGCAATGCAACACTACTGTTCTTTAGGGACAGGCAGCCCGGCCCACTTGTGCCCCATCGCCTATCCCCTGGCTGACAGCTCACCCCAGTGATTATTCTCTCTTCTGCCTCCCTCCCTCAACCATCTGTTTGTGTAAACTCTAGGCAGGGATGAGTCCTGGGTGACGGCTTATAACAAGCCCAGGAGGAGTTGACTGGTCCTCATTGTTTGGGGACTGTAGAATGTGGGGCACCTGCTGCCCCTGGCCTTTAGTTGCCAGATTTTTGTTTTTGTTTTTGTTTTTGAGACGGAGTCTGGCTTTGTCACTCAGGCTGGAGTGCAGTGGCACGATCTCGGCTCACTGCAACCTCCGCCTCCCAGGTTCAAGCAATTCTCCTGCCTCAGCCTCTTGAGTAGCTGGGATTACAGGCACGTGCCACCATGCCTGGCTAATTTTTTGCATTTTTAGTAGAGACAGGGTTTCACCATGTTGGCCGGGCTGTTGTTGAACTCCTGACCTCAAGTGCTCCACCCACCTCTGCCTCCCAAAGTGCTGGGATTACAGGTGTGAGCCACCATGCCTGGCCATTTGCCAGTTTTAAGGCAGTAGGAAAAGCCCCTTCCCACTTGTGCATGTGTTAGTGGCTGCTTATGACGGGGCTGGGCTGGAAGGCGGCTCTCTCTGCCTCAAGTCTGCTGTGTCCAGGGGTGTGAGGGCTGCCCTTTGCTGCCTGAGAGCCTCTTTCCTCAGGGCCCTGGTTCTGGGGCTGTGGTCAGACCAACATATCCTGCAGGATGGTGAAGGCAGAGGTAGGCAAGTGGCTGTGGCAGGTGAGCATCCTGTTACTGGGCACGTACATCTGCAGCAGCTCCCTCATCCACCACTGGTGGGTCCTCACGGCTGCACACTGCTTTCAGAGGTCAGTCATCGGGGGCTGGGGACTTTGCTTTCTGGCCTTGGGGTCCCTGGTGAATCTAGGGATCTGGGAACAGGGGGCCTGGCTGGATGGTCCTGAGCTCAGGACCCATCTCCTCCCTTACCTATGGACTTACCACTGGTGACCTGCCTCCTACCCATGGTCCTGCAGATCCAAGGACCCCAGCCAGTACTCTGTGATGGTGGGAGTCCATCAACTCCCAGAAAATGGCACTCAGCTCCTGGTCACTCACATCGTGATTCATGAGGATTTCAACAATTTCATGTCTCAGGACATTGCCCTCCTGAAGCTCAAGAACTTCGTCTCCTGGACCCCCCTCATCCAGCCCGTCTGCCTCCTCAACGTCAAGTTCAGGCCATCCATTGGAACCGTGTGCTGGGTAATCGGCTGGGGAAATACAGGGCAAAAAGGTGAGTGAAGGCCAGCAGAGGTTACAAGACACTTTCCTCCTTGGAATACAACCCCATCACAGGCTCCTTCATTCATTCCTTTATTCACTCATTCACTCAGTCAACAAACATTTCCTGACCTCTTGATACAAAGATATACCCCAGTGCTCTAGTGTAAAAGACACATGTGGCCTGCATAGACCTCAGTTCCCAAAGTGAAGTTAAGTGAAATGCCAAGTGCTTACCTTGCAGCATGGCAGGAAGTGAATTCTTTGTTATTAATGGGGTTCCCATGAATGGCATGAGGGCCATGATCTCAGGACATACTGAGGTACTGAGGCTTCTCTAACTTGTGTGCTGGTTATCCTGAAGTGTCACCAACTTCCTGGAGGTCTGGCCCCTGTTGGTGCTCTCCTTGGGTTCTAGGATCTGGGAGGCTTTGTGGGGGCCTGCTTTCCGGGGGGTGACATCTTGGGGCTCTAGGGTCTTGCCACCTTGCTGGTGGCCAAGGGGCAGAGCTCAGCTCTTCACCCTCATAGAACCTGAATTACTGGAGAAATCTCTTGTCCTCCTTGTCCTTTGGTGCCTGGATATCACTCCAAGCCCCTTGGGACACTTTTGCATAGTCTTTTTTGATGAGCTGGAGCTTTTTCAAAAGTTAGGCTCTGGGCTGGGACCTTTATCAAATCACCATCCCAGGAAATGGCCCTCCCTCCTACCTTAGCAAATGTGGACAAACTCTGTGATGGGGATGTGTTGAAAAGCTGAGGGGATGACAGGCCGACTCTCTGTCTCCTCAGTGACCCCAAGTACCCCCTACAGTCTTCAGGAGGTGGCTGTCAGGATCGTGAACAATGATATCTGCCAACACCGGTACCAATTCCTCTTCTTGAAGGACAAGAGGAGCTTCATCGGGAATGATGTGCTGTGTGCCAGCTCCGAATGGGGCTTGGATGCTTGTCAGGTGCAGAGCGTGTGGACGGGGGCAGGAGAAGGCTTTCAGAATTCATGTGTTTCTTTTCACACGGCAGTGGGAGACCTTATGAAAATCCGGTTCTAGATCCTTGAGGAATTGCCACACTGTCTTCCATAATGGTTGAACTAATTTACATCCCCACCAACAGTGTAAAAGCGTTCTTGTTTCTCCACAGCCTCGCCAGTATCTATTGTTTCCTGACTTTTAAAATACCATTTGACCCAGCAATCCCATTACTGGGTATGTACCCAAAGGAATATAAATCATTCTACTATAAAGACACATGCACACGTATGTTTATTGCAACACTATTTACAATAGAAAAGACATAGAACCAACCTAATGCCAATCAATGATAGACTCGATAAAGAAAATGTAGCACATATACACCATGGAATACTATGCAACCGTAAAAAGAATGAGATTATGTCCTTTGCAGGGATGTGGATAAAGCTGGAAGTCATTGTCTTCAGCAAACTAACACAGGAACAGAAAACCTAACCACTGCATGTTCTCACTCATAAGTGGGGGTTGAAAAATGAGAACACATGGACACAGGGAGGGGAACATTGCACACCAGGGCCTGTTGAGGCGGGGGTTGGGGGTAAGGAGAGGGAGAGCATTAGGACAAATACCTAATGCATGCAGGCCTTAAAGCCTAGATGATGGGCTGATAGGTGCAGCAAACCACCATGGCACACTACACCTGTATAACAAACCTGCACGTTCTGCACATGTATCCCAGAACTTAAAAAGAAGAGAAAGTCTCCTTCTCCCGGGCTTCCATTCAGCCTATAAAATCAGGGCAAAATACTCTTGTCCCTGTCCACAATGAAGGTAGTGATGGCAGTCCTTTACCACTTTTTTTTTTTTGAGACGAAGTCTCACTCTGTTGCCCAGGCTGGAGTGCAGTGGCGCAGCCTTGTCTCACTGCAACCTCTGCCTCCCAGGTTTAAGCAATTCCCCTGCCTCAGCCTCCTGAGTAGCTGGGACTACAGGCACATGCCACCACACCTTGGCTAATTTTCTGTATTTTAGTAGAGATGGGGTTTTACCATGTTGGCCAGGATGGTCTCGATCTCCTGACCTTGTGATCAGCTTGCCTCAGCTCCCCAAAGTGCTGAGATTACAGGCATGAGCCACCTCGCCTGGCCCGATTTACCACTTCTGAACATCAGCTACCTGCCCAGATGTGGGCCATGTGCTTGCAGAACCCGTTTTGCATAAATGACTTTCATTCTGCAAGCATAGAATGAATACTTCTGCCACCTGCCACTTGCACCTTCTATTCAACGTTGGTTTTGAGATTTATTCACATTGATACATGCAGGTTTTAAGCATTAAGAGCTCTACAATATTCTCTTTTGTGAATATGCCACAATTTATCCAAGCTCTTCTTTATTAACATTAAGGGAGTTTCCAATATTTTCATATCGCAAACTCTGCTGCTGCTCTAAATATTCTCACACACATCTCCCTATTTACATGTTCCACAATTTCTCAGCAAGATGTGTCTGCATGGGAGTGGTGGGTCATCGGCTGTGTTACCTTCATCTTTAATAGTCATGATCAAATTGTTTTCCAACATGATCGTATGAATTTATATTCTAACAGCAGTATTTGAGAGTTCCATGGCTCCATTTCTTGCCAGCTTTTCGTATTGTCAGACTATCAAATGTCTTCCATTCCCATGGATGGGAAACAGTACCCGTTGCAGTTGTAATGTGCATGTCGCAGTTACTAATGTGGCTGTGCAGTTCATAGGTTCATTCACTATTTGTGATTCCTCTTCTATGAATCAGTTATTCATATACTTTGGACATTTTTCTATTATTTGCCTTTTTCATTTTTTTATTTTTTAATATTCTGGATACAAATTCTGTGTTCACTGTGTATGTTGCAAAATCTTCTCCCAGTTTTCCATCTATCTTTTTCTTTTGTTTGTACTGTCCTTTGCTGAACAGCAATTTAGGTTTTATTTTAGTCAAATATATCATATCTCTGGTTTATGCTTTTTGTGTCTTATTTAATCATTCCTTTTCCCCAGGTCATAAAGGCATTCTCCTATATTTTTTTCCTCAAAGTTTGGAAATTTTGGCTTTCACGCTTTGAAATCATGTGGCACTCATTTTGGGAATGGTGTAAGATAGGAACCTACTTTTATTCATCTTCTCATGTGGACTGCCAGTTTTCCCGATGCCATTCATTGAAAACGTCATTCCTGCACTGGCTGTCACTACCTGTCTCATATATCAAGGTTCTGTAAACACAGGGGTGAGTTTAATCAGTTTAATCACCTACATAATTTATTTTTGTTCTTTATTCCTTCTCAATACAAATTTTTGAGGCTATATATTTCCCTCTAAATATGACTTTAGTTTCATGCCACAAATTTTATGTCATAATATTTTATAAAATTTCCATTTTGATTTTATTTTGACCTATTTTGCATTGTTTTTTATTGTTGTTATTGATTTCCAACTCAGTTTCCTTGTCATAAATTGATAACACTTTCCAATTTATGGACTATACTGAGAACGTTCACTTTTTCAAGCTTTGTGTTTAAAGAATTTAAGATCATAACATCACTTTTGATTTGAACTTTGAATTCATCTCAAATGTTCCCTGTTGTGATTTCATTATCACTAACTTATTTTAAAATATGTTCTGTGATTTTGAAAGAAAATGCACATATTTTGTTTAAAAAACTATTACATAAGTGCAAAATTAGAAAATGAGACTTTCCTATCATCAAACTACCTATAAATTTTTACTCTAAATTGTTTGGTTTATATTCCTAACACTTCTTTCTATGCATGTAAAGCTCTACGTTAGTTTTTTTTTTCTTTCTGGTTTTGATTTTTTTTTTTTTTTTAAGATGGAGTTTTGCTCTTATTGCCCAGGCTGGAGTGCAATGGTGCCATCTTGGCTCACTGCAACTTCTGTCTCCCAGATTCAAGTAATTCTCCTGCCTCAACCTCCCAGTAGCTGGGATTACAGGCATGTGCCACCACTCCCGGCTAATTTTGTATTTTTAGTAGAGATGGGGTTTCACCATGTTGGTCAGGCTGGTCTCAAACTTCTACCCTCAGGTGATCTGCCCACCTTGGCCTCTCAAACTGCTGGTATTACAGGTGTGAGCCACCTTGCCTGGCCTCTGGCTTTGATTTTTAGTAAGGGACTGTTAGATACTTTTATTCTCCAACATTTAAATTTTTACTTAAAATATATCTTGGACTCCTTTCTATGTCTATACATATAAATATATTTCATCTTCCTTAACTGCTGAATAATAATTTTCTCATATGGCTATACCACAATCTACTTAACCGTTCTTCTATTGACAGATATTTGAGCTCATTTTAATTTATTTTTTTACTATATTAGAATAAAAAATTTTGAATACCTTTTCACATTTGTTCAAACATTTATCTAGAATAAATTTTTAGAAGTGTAATTACAAAATCAGTTGTATATATATATATATTTTAAATTTCAATAGATATTTGCAAATTAGCCTACCAAAGACTTAATCCATTTATATCAACACCAATAGTATATGAATGACTTCTCCTGCATCATCACCAGAATTAGGTATTATTTTTATTTTAACTTTTGTCCTTTTGGTAGACTAAAACTAATATTTTTGTTGTAATTTCATGACATTGAGAAATTCTGTAAATTCCTTGTGTAACAGGATATTAAATAGGAAGTTTCAACAGAGATAGCAAAATACAGTTAGTATGAGAATTCAAAGAGAGTTGTGTGACTGATATTCGGCTACACGTCTGTATCAAAGGGTCCAGAGGGTAAGGCTGGAGGTGATTTTGTGAAGATAATTTCTCTGGAGAGAACTGCATCTATGAGCTCACCTTTCTCCCTCCAAGGGGACAGGGATGAGCAGGCTGGGGGTACCTGTCCCACACTGCAAGTCTATTGGGAGTGGTACCAGCAGGATCACTCAGAAAGCCTGGTGTGTACCCCTCAAGGTAGGGGCAGAGTCAACTCTAAATCCCTCCAGGCTCAGAGAGTTCCCTGGAGGGGAGAGTGGCCTGGAGGGGCAGGGTGGGGACAGTTAAGACACTTCTTTTCCCCTCACTCTGCGGCTGTTACCTTGGCAGGTTAGGAAGATCAGGTTAGCAAGATGGGGTAGGAGGAGTGGAAGCTAGAGGGAAGGAAGCCTCCTGCTTGCCAAAGCCCCGATGGCAATGGGGAGAAGTTTTACTCTAAATCAAGTTTAACGTTGTGATTATTACATGGGAAGGAATGTTCTGATTTCTGAAGTGAGATGTTCATATGACACTTGGTGTAATCATGGCGATTACGATTACATTACCCACAGTGGGCAAATGTTCTGGTTCTGCCCGAGTTTTTATCCGGGGTCAAGGAAAATACTCACCTTCTAAATCAATTTTAAAAGGACAAAGGAGGTCCAAATAAAATGCTTGCTTTGTTTAAGGTACCATTTACATTTTTCCATGTCCTTTGCCCATGTTCTTCTATTAAACTACTTTTGTTTTTTGTTGATTTATAAAAACTCTGGATATTCTATTCTGTAGTAACTATCGGTAAAGGAGCATATGTCTTTCAGTTTAATTTGAGATGGTTCATAAGCATTTTTATATATATATATGTGTATACACATGTGGATATATAATATAAAACATATGGTAAAACATTAAAATTGGTGAATCTGGGTAAAATATTATACTTGCAACTTTTCTGCAAGTCTCAAGTTATTTCAAAATACAAATTTACCCCCAAACCTTGGGTACTGGAAGTTTTAAGCCGTTATAAAATGCTTATGCTATTTTACCCTATTTGGACCTCATTTACCCATTTTTTGGTGTAGGGTTTTCCCACAAGGTTATGTAAAATTTTTGTGTTTACATCTATCATTATTCCCTCCATGATTTTAGTTTTTTTGCTCTTCTTAGAAATATTTTTCCTATCTAAGACTATAAAATTATTTACTCATCATTTTCGAA